TGGCCAGAGGGGCGCCCGGCGGAGCCGGGACGCCTGCAGAGCGCTCGGCTGCCCGCCGCCTCCGCGTACCCCCCAGGCCGGCAGCCGGGGTTAGCTCCAGCCCCCAGGCGGGCAGGGCACAGCGCCCCCCGCTGCTGTCTGCCTGCATCGCTCCTGGAGCTCCAGCTCGGGGTTCGCCCATAAACACGGGTTGTTAGCTCTGCCCCAGCTAGGTTAGGGGCTCCAGCAGGCCAAGCGGTAGCAATCGGCTGCCCGCCGCCTCCGCGTACCCCCCAGGCCGGCAGCCGGGGTTAGCTCCAGCCCCCAGGCGGGCAGGGCACAGCGCCCCCCGCTGCTGTCTGCCTGCATCGCTCCTGGAGCTCCAGCTCGGGGTTCGCCCATAAACACGGGTTGTTAGCTCTGCCCCAGCTAGGTTAGGGGCTCCAGCAGGCCAAGCGGTAGCAAGCAGGGCAGCTGCTGCCCTAGGTCTCCCACAGCCCTACGTCTACACTGCCTGCCTATTTCGAAATAAGCTACTCCGGAATAAATACTCCAAAATAGCTTACTTCAAAATTGCACGTCTACACTACAGGGAAGCCTCAAAATTAATCTGAGGCAGGCTTCCCTAATGTGGAGGCTGGGTTTAGAGCCTCAGGAAACCCTGGGGAGTAATTATTTTGAATGGCCCTGGGGAGACGCTATTTTGAAATAGCAGCAAGGGAGTGTCCACATACCTGCTATTCCGAACTAGGCATTATTCCTCATGGAATCAGGTTTACAGAGTCAGAATAAGCCACCTGTTATTTCAAATTTATTTTGAAATAGCAGAACTGTTGTGTAGATGCTCGCATTGTTATTTTGGAATAACGGTCGTTAGTCCAAAATAATGCTGCTGGGTAGACATACCCTGTGGCTATGTCTACACTCACAGCTTCTTGCGCAAGTATGGCCATTCTTGCGCAAGAATCCTCAGAGCGTCCACACTGCCACCTGCTCTTGCGCAAGGAAATTTACAGTACGGCGTGCTAAGAGAGGGCTTCTTGCGGAAGAGCTACGCTCTTTTTTTAACAGGTTTAAGCCCTCTTGCGCAAGAGGGCAGTGTGGATGCTTCACAGGGATTTCTTGTGCAAGAAAGTCCTATGGCTAAAATGGCCATCAGAGCTTTCTTGCTCAGGAGAGCGGCCACACTGCCATGGGTGCTCTTGCACCAAAGCACAGCTCGCACATGGTAGTGTGGACGTTTTCTTGCACAAGACTTCTTACACAAGAACCCTTGTGCAAGATGTTCTTGCACAAGAAGCAACCAGTGTAGCCTCTTAGTCCTCGCGGAGGGGCTATAAGTAGATGTAATGCTGCTATTGGTATGTCTAAAAAAGGAAATACATCACACTCAAGCAGAGGATATTGCACTTGGGCCTGACTTCCTCAGGGGTTCTGGAGGAATAACAGAGGGAGTAAGAGGTGACACCAGGCAACTGGGACTTTGACCACAGCTCTAGGTGGCTCTGGACTCAGGCTTTGGCCCCCAGTGCTCCTGCCTTAGTTTCCACCCTGAGCCCCAGGGAACATAACACTGTAATGTATATAATGCTGATCACATCCCTACATTTTAAGGCCATTCATAAAGGATAAGGAAACTTTTCTTGTAAGTTTTAATAGGATAGCTGAACTAAAATTCAGCCACAAAGGAATGTATTCTTTTGGATCTAGTTGCACGCTATAGCTATACAATCAAGACTCAAAGATTGGTATTTCCATTATGATACTGATAGCACCTAAAGGCACCCTTTATGCATCAGGGCCTCGTTGTGTGATGCATATCCCCTAATTTGTTCCTCACCAAAATTTGAGACCATTGTACAGTGCAAAATTGTACAATGATAACATATTCAATGCAGAGACTTCCTTAGTTTATGTGCCTTAAGATCTTTGAAAAGGCAAGTTAGTGCAACGTGCTAGGCGGCCTTTTCCATGTTTGCTCAGTGTGTCGCCTAATAGGGTCCTTGTGCATGGCTGGCGCTTAAGAACCAATGACTTTTTTAAGTTAACTGAAATTTATAATCATTGACTGTTCTGAACCATTAGCCTGTCAAATGTCATAGATTCATCATAGAAGATTAGGTTGAAAGAGACTTCAGGAGGTCATCTAGTCCAGTGATTGGCAACCTGCAGCCCATGAGCCACGTGCAGCCCATTGGGGTTCTGCCCTATTTCTTCCCCCATGACTCCCATGCTGGGGGTTGTGTGCTCATCTACTTCTCTCCCTCTCTCCCAGCACTTGGGAGTGCTGAGAATCAGCTGATTCGCACCATTTAAGCTCTGGGAGGGAGAAGGGGAGCAGGAGTGGGGCATGAAGCAGCTGATTCATGGCACTCAAGCAATGCTGAGAGGGAAGGGGTGAAGGGATGGGGTGCACTCAGGGGAGGAAGCAGGGAAGAGCCCGGGTAGAGATTTGAGAGAAGGGGTGGAGCAGGGGCAGGATCTGGAGGGTTGAGTAGAAATGAGAAGTGACACATTTAAAGCAAGGGCACGCATGAAGTGCATACTCCTTGCACATAACACTGGGAGAGCCAGGCAGTCCCTCTGCTTCTGTATGTTACTTTTGCCAGCAATTTAACTTGCCTCTAAGAGTGGATCACTTTGTATTGCAAAGGCATGAGAAAGGAGAATCCAGTGTAATGTATTTAATCTTATTCTTGGGGTCATTATTACTGCACAACCCTGATTTCAATCTTGTAGCTCACTGAGATGGAGAGCCACTCACGCAGCCCACTCACTATCTGTGGCTGGCCTATGGCTGATCTAGTTCAACCCCGCTCCTGCTCAAAGCAGGACCAAGTCCAAGCCCAGCTAAATCAGTTTTCAAGTTTTCCTTCCCAGCAATCATACAAAGCTAGATCATGGGGTTTTGGGGGTCTTTTTATTAAACAGTGAAAGCTGTTCTTCTCATCACTTGACTCAAAAGGTTGGGACTGTTGCAGGAACAGGGGCATATCCAATTAACGTGAAATGCACTTCAGAATAGTGATGTTAACTGCACTCCTTTACATCAGGGCTGTGTCTAGACTGGCCAGTTTTTCCGGAAAATCAGCTGCTTTTCCGGAAAAACTTGCCAGCTGTCTACACTGGCCGCTTGAATTTCCGCAAAAGCACTGACTTCCTACTGTAAGAAATCAGTGCTTTTTGCAGAAATACTATGCTGCTCCCATTCGGGCAAAAGTCCCTTTTGTGCAAAAGGGCCAGTGTAGACAGCTGAGATTTGTTTTGCTCAAAAAAGCCCCGATCACGAAAATGGTGATCGAGGCTTTTTTGCTCAAAAGCGCGTCTAGATTGGCCACGGACACTTTGCCGCAAAAAGCGCTTTTGCGGAAAAGCGTCCGTGCCAAGCTAGACGCTCTTTTCCAAAAATGCTTTTAATGGAAAACTTTTCCGTTAAAAGCATTTCCGGAAAATCATGCCAGTCTAGACACAGCCCAGGTGTGCACTACCTGCCTTTTTATTTCTGTAGGTAGTTTTAGCTGTTTAAGGCCTGGATGTCTTAGGGCAGGAGTTTTCAACCTTTTTCTTTCGGAGCCTCCCTTCTCCCCACTCAGCATGTTAGTGTTTAATCTGCTAATGTTATCGGTTAAACTCTACCTGGCTCCTGGAGAGGTGGCTTCTGAGTAGCGGTGCTGGCTGGGGCTAGTGTCTCCATTCCATGGGAGACTTTGATGTAGTATAAAGATCCATGTTTACTAGATAATCAATTAAATGGGATTTTACATCCCTAAACTGAGGTTAGCTACCCCACTCTCGTTAAGTCAGGTTTCAAGTAGCAGCAAAGACACAAAGAATTCAAGCTCAACCCCATGCTCCCCTCAACCTGTTAAACTAAGTTTTAATCCAAGTCAGCAAATGTGGGATTTGTTTGGAGTGTAGGCAGATCCGAAGGCTCTGTACTTGTGCAAACCTTTCCTGAGAAGGCGGGTGAGAGTGGGAGGGAAATGAGGTGTTTGCTGATCTGCCGGTTTTATGTGTGTTTTATAAATGGGTGACATGTATTGTCAGATGGTCTCCAGTTTGGGGAGCCTGGATGCATCTTAGACTTCTGCAAATAGATCATTGGCCCAAAGTGGCTATAATACCCTCCCCTTGTATAACTGCAGAAAGGGCAAGTGGATTCAGTTCATGCGTCTGAGGAATGTGAGTGATGCAAATGCCTATGCAGGTATGGGACTCAGGCCTCAACACCTGGGCTGGCTGTTTCGTGCCCCCATGAGCCTGCCCCAGTC